TATAGAGAAACTGATGATGCCAAGAGAAAGATAGAAGAATAGAAATTTTTTAAAAGTGTCTTGCAAATGAGAATTCGCCCAGAATATATAGAAATGGAGGCAACCTTTTGAATAGGTGTGTCCCTTGAAATGAATGGACGCATCTGTTGAAAGAAACATACCTATTCAAAGTGTTCTGAAAATAAAATTCTTTTTCGAGGGCGTTGCCCCCTCGACCCCCTTGACCTGATCGGGTAGGTCGATCCCCGTTGCGTAGCGGCAAACACTAGTTGGGGCAGCAAAACATTCGTAAAACAAAAGATAACACATGCAAAATGATGAAAAATATCTAACACTTTCTTCATCATTTTGATAAAACAGCTGTACGGAAAGAACAAAAGCTTTGGCAGTTGTCGAGTGGCCACCACTCTTGTAAGTGTGAGTACTTCCATATATATTTTCCTCTTCTCGGTCTTTGCTTTAGATCTCTTCTCTCTCTATAAAGGTACTTTTTGCACGCGTGTGTACAACATCAACAAAATGACTATGATTACTGGGTTTCTAATGTTTCGATTATTTAATTTTACTAAATTCAGGAATTAAATTCTGGGTTTTCTTTAAAGAATCTTGTTTATGTACTCAACTATTCTTGTATTTGTGCCAATTATGATTAGGTTTCGTTAATCGAAGGAAAATTCAGTCAAATACATAAATCAAAGAGAAAATGAAGGGTAGCAGTGATTTTGTAGAATTGCTTGGACCAGATTTGTCAATGAAGATCATGATGTGTTTGGTGGACCCCTCTGATCTTATTCGAGTCAGAACTGTCTCAATTTCGTGGCGTGAATTTGGTGAGTTTGATCGCCTCAGTTATTGCCCTTGTACTCGATGCACTTTTTCTATTGCTTTTTATAGATATATTTGAAAGAGAATTAGGTTTTTCGGTCGTTGAAGGCTAACTTGCCTATGAGATTGATATTGTTTTTATGCATGTTGTTTAGGCCTCAATGAATGCAACATAAGGAGTGCGTCACAAGAGGATGTTCCATAGAATAATGGGTATTATGATGAGTAAAAACAAACGAAATGTGTATTAGGATTCACATGATGAGGCTTGACATTAGCTGCCAACTTATTGCAACCCTCCTCCTCGTATGGGAATTTGAACTGGCTCTGAAAAACATAGACAGAGTTAATAATGGAAATAATATTGTCAAAAATAATGACAACGATATGAGAACTGCTTCTTGTGCGTGAAAACAAGTCTGCTACATTTACTTGTATAAAACTAGGGATTATATCTTATGTGTGGAGTATGAAAATGTAAAAAAAAAAAAAAAATTGTTGGGCGAAAGGAGACATTTGCACTAAAATTTCTTGTAATTATAGATATCTAGTTAGTTGATCTGTCAACTATGCATAAGGAAGATAAGCATATGTTTTGTGATTATTGTCCCTTCTTTCCATGCGAAGAAACTGTAGAAGTACAACATGGAGCTTTAATTTGCTCTTGCGTTGACTTTGAAATCTTATGCAGTGATTGCTAATGGCCTATGTAAGCAACTTTGGCATAGAATGTTTCCGGAGGTATCAAGCGTTGATAACATTTTTGAAGTTACAAATATAATTGAAGACATGGAATTCAAGACAGATGATTCTACAAGAGGCGCTCGTCTAGAGAGGGATCACAGATTGTATGTGTTCTTGACTTGAGGTCCTACTTATACGAGAAAGGATTGCATATCAGATGCTATATGTGCATTCAGCACTGATAATTATCCTGAAGAAAGCATAAAAAATACTCTAGAACCAACGGATGTTGTTGACTACAGAGCATCATACTGGTCAAGCAAAGGTGAAAGTGATGCTTCAGTTCCTGAAACATTAATATATAGATTGGCTGCACGACTCTGTGTGATTTCTGAAATTCATGTAAAACCATTTCAAGGTCTTCCGCCAATTTCTTTATACTCCTATTTTAGAACAATTAATATTACATCATCTATGTTTACTGACTCAAAAAATGGTTTGGCATGGCACCAGCATATTTTCAATTTGGCATCCCTATATATTCGTCTAAGACTGTAAGATTTCGGGTGGGCATCAAAGGGTTCCATTGGAGGTACAAAGTGATGAGGTGGATGAATTTCGGGATGTCCAAGAATTTTCGGGATGTCAAGTATGTATGGACATATACTTCGCCAGAATTTCCAATGGCTTAAGTGAGTTGCTTGTTTGGGCTTTCCCATATAATTTTTCAGTTTCTGCTGTTACTGTTCAAGGAAGGATAACAATAAATATTTCTTTTTTATTGACTTTATCTTCACACAATTGTCATCTATTTTTGCATTGTATGGACAAAAATAGTCATAAAATTGCACCATGTACTTTCACCTGTATTATTTATACAACCTTTTAACATGCACGTAGGAAACTCTTGATGATTATATTGAATTATACCTAATTGTTCCACTAGATGCTCATAGTCATGGATGATGGATATACGAAGCTGGCATATTTAAAAACTTAGATTATGGTCATCATGATGTACTATTATGTATCTGGATCGTATTAAGAATCTCTCTTTCAAATTTATTCTTTCCATGTGACATGACTAAAGAACTGTTTACCTGGTTTAACGGGGAATGCAGGAGAATCTCTTGCAAAAATTTAAGCTGCCAGAACCTGTGTTTTGCATTGGAGAAATTCTGAAAGTAGAGCTCTTGGGCAGAGTTCAGACACAAGAAACGGATGAACTATATTATATATGGTGAGTCTTTTAAGCCTTGTGCTCTTATTATCCAGCAGTTCATTCTTATGTTAAAGTCATTGTGGCAACGAGCAATCCCAATCCATTCTTTCCATTCGCACTAGGGATGTCATTTAGAGTTGCTTAGCTGAATTGATTATTCCAAAAATGAGATCCTTGCATATAACGGGGATTATGCTTTGGATTAAGTCCCTTGTTTGAGCCCAATTTTTCCCATCAAACTACACATTTTTCAATAAAATAATATTACACGCAAACCCAAAATTTTTCTTTATTTTTTAACCACACATTCTCAATCATAACACTATTGGAAAATGCATTTTTTTGAAAAAAAAAGGGGCTCAAACGAGCCATAAGTCTCAATCCCTAGTTATGAGAGCAATAAGAAACAAAAAACAGGCAAGGTAGGTTTAGTTTGTTTTGGTTCACCATTATATGTTAGAGATACATTGCATGATTCGCGCCTCTCAGTCTATATTTCAACAGAAACCTGGGGCCTCAATAACTTTTTATATATAGGAATACTAGGGCAACCTTGTACATATATAGAATAACTAATATACTGTTGAAGTTGATCAGTGATCCAGGAAAAAATTATAGGATGATTAGATTCTACACTGCCCATTAGATTCAACCATGCTACCAATGAATTTGTCATACCTATATGGTGGAAATAAAAGAAAATGAGAAGAAAATTATCAACATTAAGGTGTTGTGAGTGAATAGTTGTAGGAAATAACCCACTTTACAATTTAAGTGGACTCTTGGAGTAAAGCGGCCCACCAACCGCATTGTCAACATATCATGCACTTAACCTTGTTTTGTGGACCTGGTCGTGCGAGAATACTTTCGCAGATTATGGCACTTCCTACTAGCATTCAGTCTTGAACATATCCAAATATCTTGATTGGAATCTCCGAATTCCTCCATTCTCGAGATATGTTAGTGACACAATAACTAGGTATGAGGTTCTATTCCTTGACTACTAAACACACACATATGACATGAGTGAAAATGACTGTTGTTTTCTGGGAATTGCATCTGAAAGAAAGAATCGGGTGACAGTGTGCATTTCCATTCCTGCTGAAACTTCTTGCTCTGTATTGTGTTGTACTCGTTGGCATGAATTCATTGTTAGTTATTGTTTCGCGCGGGTTCGCTCNGAGAAGAAAATTATCAACATTAAGGCGTTGTGAGTGAATAGTTGTAGGAAATAACCCACTTTACAATTTAAGTGGACTCTTGGAGTAAAGCGGCCCACCAGTCGCATTGTTAATATATCATGCACTTAACCTTGTTTTGTGGACCTAGTCGTGCGAGAATACTTTCGCAGATTATGGCACTTCCTACTAGTATTCAGTCTTGAACATATCCAAATATCTTGATTGGAATCTCTAAATTCCTCCATTCTCGAGATATGTTAGTGACACAATAACTAGGTATGAGGTTCTATTCCTTGGCTACTAAACACACACATATGACATGAGTGAAAATGACTGTTGTTTTCTGGGAATAGCATCTGAAAGAAAGAATCGGGTGACAGTGTGCATTTCCATTCCTGATGAAACTTCTTTTTCTGTATTGTGTTGTACTCGTTGGCATGAATTCATTGTTACTTATATTATGAAGTTAATGATTCATCGTAATTTCTTTTGCTCAGCATTACACATGTTGAAGTCGTTGGCAGATTGCTTTTACCAGGATTCGATATAAAAATTCCAGAATTGGGAAAATGCTTATTGGAATACTACCATGAAGCTGCACATTCTTCGTCACCTGCAAAATCTTCATACGGTGTAAGGTGATTCAAGTAGCCCTTTACAGATCCACAAGTTTCAGCAAGCGTATGGAGCTGGGAGCAAATGCTCTTCTACACATTTGAAGGAGATGATGGTAGAGAGTGACCATTCCGATGATCACCTACATTAATACTTTAAGATCGTGTTTGGTATACCGTAGTTGACAAACCTGTTGGGAATTTACTTAA